TTCTGTTGCAGTTCCAAAGGCATGCTTCAGCATGACAGCAAAAAAGATCCCAAACAGGGTCGGCGTGAGGACACAGCCCTGTTTCACTCTGCTTCGGATGTCAAAGGGATCTGATGTTGAGCCATCAAAAACTACAGTGCCCTTCATTCCCCCATGAAAGGACCTGATGATGGTAAGGAGTCGAGGAGGACATCCAATCTTAGGAAGTATTTTAAAAAGGCCATCCCTGCTAACCAAGTCAAATGCTTTTGTAAGGTCTATGAAGGCCACAAAGAGTGGCTGTTGTTGTTCCCTGCATTTCTCCTGCAACTGTCTGAGGGAGAATACCATATCAGTGGTGGATCTATTTGCTTGGAATCCGCACTGTGATTCTGGATAGACTCTGTCTGCAAGCACCTGGAGCCTCTTCAGCACAACATGGGCAAGCAGCTTCCCTACAATGCTAAGAAGAGAGATGCCACGGTAGTTATTGCAGTCACCCCTGTCTCCTTTGTTCTGATACAATGTGACGATATTTGCATCCTTCATATCCTGTGGTACTCTACCTTCGCTCCAGCAAAGATGAAAGATTTCATACATTTTGGTGGTGATGGTCTCTTTGCAGCACTTCAGCACTTCAACAGGGATGTTATCCTTTCCAGGTGCCTTGCCGGAGGCAAGGGAATCCAAGGCCGCTTTTATTTCTGCTAAGGTTGGTTCGCTGTCTAACTCTTCCAGGACAGGGAGGCACTCAGTGTTATTTAATACTTCTTCAGTTACTACATTCTCTGGAATACAGCTCAGAGTAGTGTTGCATCCAGCGGTCCATCTGCTTTGCTCAGTCCTGGATGAACATGCCTGTAGCAGACTTCAGGGGAGCAGATTTCTTCTGTACTGGACCTAAAGCCTGCTTGATCATACATTCCCTTGATGTTACCTGTGTCTGCTGCTAACTGTATCTGAGAGCAGAGCTGAAGCCAGTAATCGTTGGAACATCTCCTGGCACTGTTGGACTTGGCTACGAGCAGCTCGAAGAGCTTGCAAGTTGTACTCACTAGGGAAGGCTTTGTATGCTGCTAGAGCTCTCCTCTTATCCTCGATGGCTGGAATTAACTCCTCCGAGTGGGTGTCAAACCAGTCGGCCATCTTGTACCAAGGTATACAAAATCTTTAATTAATTTCAGTTTCCTCATTGTCAACATTAAAATTGTCTAAAAGTCTGCTTTGGTGCTTTCTTCTTTCATGTTCACTAAAAGTAATTTCAAGTTATTTCTGCTTTCTGCCAGCAAGATTGTGTCATCTGTATATTTTGATGGATGTTCCACCAATTTTCACTCCTCCTACATCTGAATCTAGTCTGACTTTCTGTATATGTTCTGTGTACAGATTAAACAGATGAAATAAAAGCTTGGATAATTTTGCTATAGTTCAGTCTATTTCTCCATATTTTCTTGTAATGGTGGCTTCTTGTCCACAGTACAGATTATACAACAGGATAATCTAGTATTGAGGCACACTTTATTTTTTAGGGCACTCCATGATTTCTCATCCACACAGGCTTTTCGGTGGTCTGTAAAGCATAGACTAATCTTCCTCTGAAATTCGTTGATGTACTCCAATAAGCAATGTATATTTGTGATATGATCTCTAGAGCTTCTTCCTTTTTAGAATCCAACCTGAACACCAGACATTTCTTGTTTTATAGATGGTAAATGTCTTTGTTGCAACATCACAACCATAACTGCTTGCATGATAAATTAATGTAATGGTTTTGCAGTTACAGTCGTGCCCCGCTTTACGATTACCCCGTTTAACGATGAATCCGCTTGACGGTGAGGTTTTTGCGATCGCGAAACGTTGGTTTGAATGGGGTTTTTCCGCTTTGTGAACCGATTTTCGCTTTACAACAATCAAAAACAGCTGATTGTCGGGTTTCAAAATGGCCACCGGCTGAAGAAAATGGCCCCCCGCTGTGCTTAGGGACAGATTCCTCACTGCATAGGCACCGAAAATGGCCACCCCATGGAGGATCTTCGCTGGACAGTTAGTTTTCAGCGTATTGGAATGCATTGAATGGGTTTCAGTGCATTTCAATGAGCTTTATTTATTTCGCTTTACGATGTTTTTGCTCTATAGCGATTTTGCTGGAACAAATTAATGTCGTAAAGCGAGGCACCACTGTACTGCACTCCTTGGCATGTCCTTTCTTGGAGGCTGAAATGTATATTGAAGATTTCCAATCCGTGGGCCATTGTTTGTTTTCCATGTTTGTTGGCATATTCTTGTAAGGATTTTGTTAGGATTCTTGTAGCTTGGAATAGTTCTATTAGTATCGCGGCTACTCCTTGTGATTTATTTCTTAAAAATTGCTTTGAGAGTAGCTTTCACTTTTAGGATCCTTAATATAGGCTTAAATTTCCCTTTGATTGTCTGAAAGAGTTTTCTTGTTTCCTCTGTTGTTACTCTTTTCTATTATTTCTTTATATTGTTCACTATAATAGTTATTGTGTCTCTATGTGACAGTCAAAAGTTGCATTCATGCTTCTGACCCGATTTCTGTCATGCTTTGTTTGTCACCAGTCCTTAACAATTGTATGTTTCTCTATTATGTTTCTCCATTATCTAAGCCAGGGGTCTCAAACTCAATTTAGCTGGGGGCTGCTGGAGGCAGAGTCTGGGTGAGGCTGGGCCGCATCAGATTTTCCGCCAAGCAAGAGCCTGAGGAAGCTGCCCAGGAGTTTCCTTAGCCCGGGTGGGGCTCCAAGGAGGAGGAGGAGGAGGGGTGCACGAGCCTTCCTCGCCAACCATGACCCCCTCCGGCTCCTTCTTCACTACTACCACCACCACCACCACCAGCAGGATGAAGAAGCAGAGAAGGGAGGGAGCGCCAGCGACTGCCTAGCGGGGAGAGAGGAG